ACCTTATGAACGAAAAAAATACTATTTTAACGAAATCAAGAGATTTGTGTGAGACGCGGAATTTTGATCTCACACTATCTGCAGTATAAGTTTTGATATATTGAATTTTATCCATTCCTATTTTTTCGAATAAATTATAAACTCTTAAAGCTTTTTGTGTTTGTTTGCATAAGTTTTCACGCTTTGTATTAGGAAGTTGTTGGATAATAAAATCATATACTTGACCTTTTGCTTTTTTCTCCCTGACTTTTCCATCAGCCATAAAATCTTTAACCATACCTTTAGACTTTTTAGCATAGAAACACCAACATAATATTTCTTCTTGATTAGCTTTTATAGCATCTTTTTCTGCATCGCATGCATTTTGATATAAACAGATTATGTCTTTATCTGAAGTAGAATAATCTATTTCGGGCACATAATTTTGAGGAATATTGTTTGATGAAATTTCAGTTATATTATTCTGATATTTAATAGATATCTCTTGTATTAAACCTTGCTCTTTTTTCTGATCGGAAGGAACACTAGATTTAATATTAGATGCGTAAGTGTCCTCTTTCGGAGAATTTCCAGTAGGTGCCTCATGTTGAAGCTCCCCCCCCCCCCTATTTCGTTCTCTTATTTCGTTACGAATCCATTCATTATCCCTTTCAACCAGAAAATCAATCATATTATTCATTTCCTTATCTTTTAACAATTCAGACTCTGTGCAGTTAGATGGTGCAGAACATTGAGTTAAAGACTCATGACGTAAATCACAATTTGAAGTGTTATCAAATATATCAGATGTGGGGGTATCATCACATTGTTCATCTATCAGTTCAGAAGTATCATCAAATTCGTTTCACAAAGGATAATATTAACTGAAGATTGATTAGTATCATCATCTAATGATTTGGTATTAGTATCAATACAGTGGTTTATAACTGGATCGGATACATTAACAATATTCTCAAAATTATTAACATTTTTTAATTGTTTCTCTTCCAATTTCTCAAATCGTTTTTCATTTTCTTTTTTATACTGTTCTAGTTCCTCAACTCTAGCTTTGAGTTTCATACTCTCAGCTTCACGCCTGACATTTTCTTTTATTATTTCTTTTAGATCCGTATTCTCAGCTTCAACCTCTACATATTTCTTTTTAATTTCGTTATTCTCGGCTTCAATCTCTGTGAACTTCTTTCTGATTTCATCAATCTGAAGAACAAGCCTGGAATTCAATTCTCTTAATGATTCTATTGTGGATTGTGTATTCGTCATTGTTTTATTATAATTTTATTAATAGTATTCAATTCTTTGTTAATCTAACAAGTGATCTGCAAATTCCAAGAAAAATTTCAGAGAATAAAAATTTCTGTAAAATTTCACAGAACAATGTTTGCTGAAAAATGCCAAGAAAAATTCTCTATCATATATGCATAACATCAATAGCAATACGTCAGAAAAAATAAATTCATGAAATCAAGCCACGAGGGCCAGCTTATTGAGATCACATAAGAAGCAGAAAAAAGGGCTATGAAATTAACACTCAAACTCAAATATCAATAATTTATATAACATAATTATTTGGAAATCATATTATAACGATTTTTTTAGATATAATATATTTTTGAGATGTTATTTAATTATAGATCATCTTCCAAAATTTAACAAACATGATTATCGTCCACACATGTTGACGGTCAACTAAAAGTACCACTCCAGAAAAAAATAGCCATGCTAGCTCCGCTAAAAATAATTTTTTTACATACTTTTGGTTAAACTTCATCATCATCTTCATCAGACGAATCTACTTTAGATGAAATATAAACTGTTTTAGCTATGCTAGCTCCGCTATTATTATTATTCATCATTGAATCTATAATTATTTTATGAATTTCCAGCTTAACTATAGCTAACAATACATGTAAAGAAATTCTGATTTTTTTTATACATAAATGATGAAATAAGGCTAAAAACGCTATTTTGCATACTTTTACTAATATTAGTGTGTAAATTCGAGGCTTCGGGATTATGAGTTTTGACTGGTATATGCATTTTATTAACAATTGGTATAGGCATTTTTATTAAATGAAATAAAACTTACCAGTCTCATCACAATTATAGACATCTTCCAAAGGAAATTCTTGAATTATTTCTTGCAATTTACT